CTGCAAGGTCCAAGCAAAGTTTGCCACTGCTGTCTTAAGACCATGCGCAGCTACTGCATGCCCCATCTGACATGCTCATGAACCTCCAGCTCTTGCTGGCCATCTGCAGCTGATCCCTCCCCAGCCTCAACTGCCACAGGCTCACCCGACACGCATGCCCTCCTCTATGTCGGTGGGCGCCACACGGTCGCCCAGGCCCACGACAAACTTGGCAATCTGCTTGATGTTGATCATGTACTTGGCGTTGTCTGTGTTGGGATTGATGATCTTGGTGCAGCGAGCCACCTGCAGAGGGCGAGGGGGGACATGTGGTGGGTTTGGATCCTGAGTGTCTCACCAGCCAGCACAGCTGTCAGTGCTCCATGACCATGTTCCCAATGAAGTTGAGGGAGAGCATCAGGCGGGAAGGAGCTCTCCGTCCTACTTGGAGGGGCTGCTCCTCCTGCAGCGCCTGCTTATCACTGACAAGGTCCCAGCGAGAGGGGTGCGCCAGGCCCGTGTCCGACTCCTTGATGCCAGACACCTCATTCACGCGTTTTGCAATCTCCCTGAGCTCGATCTCCAGCTTCTTGATGCGATGGGAGTATGGCCCGGCCCCATACGTCTGCATGATCCTGACGTCCTCCTCCGACAGTGTCTTGATCGGCTTCTCATCCTTCTCGGGGTCGGAAGCCCCGGGCTTCGCCATGCCTTCTGATTTGTACTGTCAGAGACTGCCGAGGCACGTCGCGGGATCCGGGCCACCTGGCAGGTCTGCGAGGATCACTTGGCCACAGCACCGACCTCCCAGAAGCTCCCGATCACTTGTCCCTCGCTTAATGTGGTCCAATCGTGGTCGGATGTGCGTGATCGGCACCGGATCGCGGCAAAAGATATTTCGCGTTGGGCAGTCCCCCAGGCTCCCTGCGCGCTGTAGGCAGCACCCCCTTCTGGGAACTCAGGCCTGCGCAGAGAAGTAGAAACGAGGAATAGTGCTTGGCGCAGAGCCGAGCAGCGGCAACCAGGGGAGAGGCGAGCTCTTCAGGGCACCCACGCGCCTACACTCGCTCGTGCGGTGTTTATTAGCTAGTAACATGTTTCCGTGAGACCCATGTCCGTGAGTTTCGCTCCTGTGTCACAGTGTCGCTAGGTGGGGCCCTGCCCGCCAGACTCTCTGCCCAACCCCGCTGTAGACATTTTCGGGAGAAATGCACCAGTCGTTGGAGTTAAAGAGGATGCCGAACCCTGCTCTCCAGCTTTTACCCCATAAGTGCACGCGCTACTGCACGTTTGAGCACGCCTTCGGGAACCTTTACGTCTGCCAGACGAGCGGAATGCAGCATGTTTGCGACGCCAACTGCGACCAAGGGGTGTACTACGATGGTGCTCATGTCATCTGTCGCCTGTCTAAAGTCGTTCGGCCCCTGAGTACGGTGGAGCATGTTGTCAGGTCTGTCGGGTTCAAAAGTTTTTGGGAGGGCTCTACAGGAAGTGTTTCGAGAGACTTCATCCGACTCCGATCCTACCCCTGCCGGCCCGCAGAAAGCGCTCTGGAGACCTCCTACAGCTACCTGGGAGCAAGCGCAACTCTTGTGAACCAAACAACCTCCCAGAACCCCATGCCTGCTGGTAACATGCTCCTGCACATCCACTGGGGCCCCCGAGACTGTATGATGCACTCAGTGTCTGTGACCCACCTTTCTCCCCTGTGATGCATCCCTCTACAGGGGCCGCTACCTTACTTGTTCCCATACAAACTCTTTGATTCTCCTGCTCGGCTTGATTTTGGGTGTCAGGATCCTCCCAGTGTCAACCTGCACCGATCAGTTTCCATTTCCTCCCCGCTGACTGAGTGTTGTCCCTCTACAACCTCGGGAGCCTTTTTCTACAATAAGACGGCGATTTAAGGAGAAAGTAATTCCGAGAGTACACCAGAGGGTGTGTTGCATGGGGTTGGTGTTGTGAGAAATATTGCTGGCACCTGCAGGCAGGCTGTGTTGTGAAATGTACCATTGATCCTAGCTCCTTGCTGGAGTAGTCAATGCCACTATGATCCGCCGGTACGCACGGTTGGGCGTCGGAAGGTCTGACGGCTTTGGCCACTCGGCTGGTCTTGCTGGGGTTCGTGCTTCTGCATGGATCCTACTTAGCGCGTCCCGGACGATAAAATTCTCGCTTCATGCATCTTGGCCTGTGACGCCCGCAAGGTTGCAGTACATTCAAAATCATATCAACTTGAGCCAGCTTATTCCGTACTGGGAGGGTTTGAGGAGTAGATCGGCGGGTGGCAGGTGACCCGCAACCACTCTCCAGCGTTGCCACCCCAAATCCTCCTCGGGGGCGCCGCGGCCAGCAAACCACCCTATGCCTGATCCCTGAGGCTGGATGCAATGGAGGGCAACGCGAACAAGGGGATTCTCAAGCCTGTGATCGCGGCGACCATCACGGACCCCGCCAAGCTGGCCACCAAGATGGCCAAGAGGCTGTTCCAGAACGGCTCAGAGGTACAGCAGCCCTGGAGGGGGCCTGATCGCTTTGCTCCCTGTACTGTTGTATGTATCCTGGATTCAACATGCATCAACACCAGGATTCCACCCCACCTGCCTGCAGGCGCCCATGCCGCGCAACCATGACCCAGCCCAGATCATCGACGAAAAGGTGTGAGGCCCCAGGCCAGGGCGGGGGGGGGGGGTTTGGATCCTGCCCCACGTGGAGTCGCCGAGCTGGCATCTGCCAGGGCATCCATGGTCGCTTTGCCTCCTGTTTGACACCCTCCTCGCCCTCCCTCTTGCGATGCGTGCAAGAGGGCCTGGGGCCGGCGCTCACGCCTGCAGCACACCACCGCCTCTGACCACCTCTTTGAGCACTTTGTCGTGGTGGTGAGTGGGTAAGATGAGAAGATGATTCCCAGTAGTGCTGCACAGAGTTCCCACATGCCTGTGAGCTGCCAGCACTGCACAGGATGCGCGCTGCATTCCCCATGTGGCATCGGCTGGACCCACCTGGCTCCCTCCCACTGCCGCACCCATGCCAACTTGTGCCTTGTCCCTTGTTCATATCCTCGTCATACTGAACACCTGATGTCATCGCCTCAACCCACCCACCCACCCCAACAAAAAAGGGCCTCCCCCCCGACCTGGACGTCCGCGCCGTCACCTCCAACGCCCGCACCTTCCAGCGCCTGCGCAGTGCCTCCCAGCAGCCCGGCATGCGGGTGACGCCCGACGCGCCGCGGGAGGCTTGGGGCCTGGCCCACCACGGCCAGCGGGGGCCGCACCTGGACCCTGCTGTGCTCCACGCCACGCCCTCCGGCCTGGACCCGGCCCTGACGGCTGCCCTGCCGGGCCTCTGCTTCCCCCAGGGCATCCGGCCGGAGCTGCTGGAAAGGACGCCCTCCATGTCGGAGCTGACCGAGGTGGTGTGCGGACAGGCCCACCACTCCTCGGACGAGGCCACCTTTGTCTTCACCTTGAAGGCGCGCTCGATTTTCCTTGGTTTCCCGGGGTCGGGGGGCAAAGAGCAAAAGGCCAGGTTCGGAAAGCGAGTCGATGCTACACAACCGTAATTGTCTGTGGCGCCCAGGAGCATGAGCTTGCTGCTGCTGCCGGGATGGTGCCGCCATGCATGCGACCGTCGAGCCAAGCGCTCGATGTACCAATCACCAATCCCAACGCCACCATGGTTCCCACCTCCTCAAACCGCCAGGTGTCTGCGAGGCATGCGCCGGCCGAGCACCCCCAGACGCTGTGGGGAGTGTGCTGCTACATGCGGGAGCTGGTGCACCGCCCGCCGGCCATCCTGCGAGGAGGGGCCCCAGCCCCGGCCCAGCCGCCACTGCCGCGCTACCTCGTGGCCGCCCCCCGCTGCTACTGCCTGCTCTCCCACTTCCCCTTCTTCTCCCTGCACTTCCGAGTGGGTGACATGGGTCTGCGAGGGATCAGGAGCGGGGGAGGGGGGAAGGGGCGCCCTGTAATCCAAGGTGAATTCGACGAGGCGAAGAGAGCGCCCGCCTCCGGGTCTTGTCCCCTTTTGCCCAACGCACTGCCGCGCCATCTTGCACCCCAACGCATTGCCTGGGCTCTCACTCCACCCAGGCCCCCTCTCCCCTCAACCCCTGCCTGCTGTCAGGTGCTGCAGACGGTGCTGGGGCTGGAGCGACTCGACCGCATGACGGTCCTGGCCGCTGAGCTGGCAGGCGACGCCGAGCTGGCCTTCCTGACCCCCTCCGTCCCCGGCACGCCCCGCACCGCGGCCGGGCCGGGGTCGGACCTCAGCCTGGCCAGCTCAGCGCGCAGCAGCCTGACCAGCCTGTCGGAGAACCTGAGCGGGCCCACCCCTTACTTCACCGCCGCGCCGGAGGCGCGGCCACGCCAGGAGCCCCGCTCCTCACGTGACATTGCCGGCACGGCGGCCGCGGGGGCGGAGCGCATGGCCTCAGTGCGGCGGGCGCTGGACGTCGCCCTGGCCAAGGAGGGCGGGAACGGGCCGAGCCCTTTGGTGGGAGGAAGGAGGGGGTCTGCGGCTGAGCCTGGGCTAGACAGAGGAGCCAGGGCGTCCACAGCCCTGCCCGGCGTCGCCGCCAACCCCCCGTCGCCCTTTGCGCGCGCCCCGGGGCAGGAGCCCGCAGGCTCGGCGGAGCGGCTGTCCTCCCACGCCCTGGAGATGCCCAGCACCAGCGCCAGCAGCGTGCGGGAGGATAGCCCCGAGCCAGGAAAAGGTGACGCGGGGGACGATAAGGAAGGAAAGGGGGGCGCAGAAACCCCTGTCGGCGACGCGTGTGTTTCGGTGACGGTGGCAGCAGGGCAGCAGGTCCTGGTTGCAGCGGCGACACCATCTGGCCAGGAACCAAGCAGTGCCCCTGCCCGGCAACCCCGCCTCTCGAGGGCTGCGTCCTCCAGGACGCAGACGCCTGGCCAGTCCAGGTCGCAGTCGAGGCGGCAGAGCAACGAGGACGGCGCGTCAGAGAGCGAGAGCTTCGCCTCGGCAGCCTCCAGCCTGGCGCCAGCAGCGACGCCGGTCAGCAGGGCCTGCGTGGCCGCGGCTACACCTGCGCTGCCCGAGGAGCCTGCCAGGAGTGCTGGGGACGACACGTTGGGCACCCCCTCGCCGGACAAGGCCAGTGGTCAAGCCCCTGAGCTGTCGGCATCCACCCCGCAACAAGAGGGCACGCCGCCTCAGACCCTGGCTCGGGGGGACGTCTTCTCGCCCCAGCCGCGAGGCCCCGTGCCATACTCGGTGGACTCAGAGAGCGCCGCAGGTGATGCGGTGCTTTCTGGAATGACTGCGCGATTGGAATATGTGATACTGCGTGAGCGTTGATTTCCGGTGCTCTGGGACTCGATCCACGTGATGAAGGCGGGGGCGCATTGCTTTGCGAGATCCCTATGCTGAAGAAAGCTCTTCCCATCCATCAGAGCACTCTCTCTGCACCATGCCCCCCTGAGCTCTCTCTACCCCTTCCTGGCCGCAGGAGCTACACTGCCCATCCTCACGGTGGAGGGGCGAGCCGCTGACCCGGGGAAGCCTTTGACCCCTGCCGACCTCCTCCAGGCGTACTGGGCAAGCCCCGTACCAGCCTTGGGACAGGTAGGCAGTTGTGGCGGGCGAGGCCACAGCCTGCCTGTCCTCAGATGAGCTGTAGACCCGCCTCATGGCAGCATTCAACCCGGCTTTGCATGATCACATGGCTTCCTTGCTCAAGCCCGTGATGGCTGGCAGTCATGCCCGGCATCACCTTCTCACTTTTCCCTTCGACCTCTCCCCCCCCAAAAACTGTTCGCAGTGCTTCGAGTTCAAGCCGGACCCTGCGCTGCAGAAGCTGAGCTACAGGCGGAGCGGCCTGGTCAGGGCGCAGCGCGCCAGCGGGTTGCACGCCGCGCCGGCGGCGCTGGCGGACCTGGAAGCCGCCGAAAACCTGGGGAGCTGGGTCATCCCCGCGCTGTGCCGCTGCATGTCGCTGGACAGCATCCTGACCTTCCTGGGGGCCGCGCTGCAGGAGGCCCAGGTCAGCATGGATCATGCAACTTGAAGGGGGGGGTGGGGTCTTTGAAGAAAGGGTGGCGGGCGGGGGCACATCAGGCGGA